TCTGAATACTTTCCGAATGCACTGTGATTTATTTTACCCTCTGATGATAGTGTCACCTCTACCCAAACAGGAAGTATTTCTTTGTTTTTAAATGTTGCTGTGGTGAGGTCATTTCCTGTCGGTCCACCAGCCAGCCAGCCGGCCGGCCGGCAACAAATTCAAGCCCATACTTGTATTGTTTTAAAAGGAGAGAGAGAAAAAAATATTAATCTACACTCAAATCCCAGATGTTTCTAAGGACGTGAAGCAAACTGGATCATGCGCTGCCCCTATAACCACTCCCTCTTCCCCCACACCCCCTAACCTCAGTTCCCCTCCGATGACATCACAGTCAAGTGTAACAGATCGTACAGAGAGCAGCCTGTGAGACAGACACAGCAGTGGCCACCGGCAGACCCTCACGCTTCTGTTAGAACGCTACAGGATACAAACAACAACATGCTATGTGATGGACACGCAGCTGAGAACTATGTTTCAGATTCACTGTGGAAAACCACTATCTCCTTCTCTCTCTTCCTCTTAGCCATTTCTCGCTCCTCTCTCACTCCTCACTCTCCACTCTATTCCCCCGTCTCCCATCTCTGGCCTCTCTCCCTCCCCTTTTTTTCTCTCCCGCCTCTCTCTCTTCGCTTCTATGTGTTGCTCAATGTTTCATCATTTCTCTATGCAGCTGCCTAGTCAGCCCAGAGATAGTGTACAGGGACAGCTGGGCTGCAGAGAAAGACTGTGAGTGAAAGAGAGAAAGCGAGAAAGGACACAGAAAGACACTGATTTCGCTCTCTCTCACGAATACCAAACCCACAACCATGTACACATAAGTGTTAATTTAAGAATAATATAAAAACCCAATAATGACAGAATAGATTATTTATTTTCAACAAACATTTATTTGTGGCCTATATGACAAACAGAAGGAAATGAGATCTCAGCTGAACGGGCTACATGGTTGGAAAAAACAACCCCAAAACCCCCTAAAAATCTAAATCCCGTTTCATTTGTTCTTATCTTTCTTTCATTTTCTTTTTTAAAATGAGTCTATGTACATAGACATTTTCAAGTGTCTCTAGAAAGGGAGAGAGCTACATACTTCAACAGTCAGCTCATAGCTACAGTAGACATTCAGCTTTATTCTCTACGCAAGGATAGAAAGAGTACAAATAATATGTTGATGTATTCTTTTCAAGTTACAATACAAGCAATGATTTCTTTGTTTCATTTTCAGTCATTGCATTCTCCTCTTCCCCAAGAGTCAATGTATTAGAAAGAAAGGAAATATATAAAGCGAATATACAGGCAATCTTTCAGTAATAATTTAGCTAATATTATTAACAGCGTAAGCTAAGAATTTATGTACATATTGCTAGGCATTGTGATGTGACAGTGGACAGTGTGGATGGGGAGGTGACATAATAGTTGAACAATGACATGGTACAGTGGCATTGACCTCTCATGCCTAGCAGTATCTCTCTCTCTGATTGGACTGTTGCTTTAGACGGAACCAAGGCTCTCTCCTGTCATTGGCTACCTGCTGTATGACCAGCTACTGTTACCTGAGGGGGAGGAGCCTAACATATGTACCTGACAGACAGGTAGAAAGGCTATATTAGACTGAAACTATTTAAAAAACAAGAGGAAAGACCTTTACTGTAAACATAAAACCCGAAGTGTATTAAGAAGAAGCATATCATCATATTTTCAGTTCCCTTTTATTTAAAATGTACATAATCATGACTAAACCATCATTCACTTCATGTGCTCAGTTACTTGTTTTAGGAACGTAGAACAGCAAAGAGGTGTTGGATACTGTATAACACTTTAGTGTGTTTTGCTAACTGCTGCTGCTCACTGAGACATCTTTATTTTTTAGAAAGGCACTCTAGTGACCTTCTTACTGACAACACAACAAACATGGTGGGCCTCAGGTAGGTAGGTACAAGTGACAGCCTTGCATTTAGTTCTTCCAGGTCAAAGGGCAGAGGAGGCCAGGGAGGTAGCAGAACGGGTATGGAAGCAGCATTTATCAAAGGCAGGAGGGACCAGACCAGTTAAGTCTGTCTGTGTGGACTGGAATCATGCTCATCAGTGGTTGGATGGCTGGGCCTGGGAGAGACTGTGGGTTTGAACCACAAGTACATTTAAAGACTTGGAGGCCTACTACTGTAATGCCCTATTTAAAGAGACGAGTCATCATTTCCTTCTTACAACAAGAAGAAACACACAAAAGAGCCTGCTGACTGCCCATGCTAACTCAGCTTCTAGGGAGGGAGGGGGAAAGAGAGAGAGAGAGAGAAAGAGAGAGAGAGGTGGTGTGTGTATGTGCCTGTTACATGATCAGTGAGGCTCTCAGGGGTAGAGGCCAAATCAGTTTTTACGACAGTGACATGCTCATCATTAAGGCACCTGCCAGGGACTGACTCCTAACCAATAGCCATTTAAATAGAATACTATGTGCCAATATAGCAAAGCTGAGTCATTTCTCTTACATAAAAGCCTTGTAAAAAGCACTTAAAATAACAGAATATGCACTATTAGTCCAGCACCATTGCAATCTGAGAGAAAAACAAACATATATAAACATTTATAAAAAACAAATAAAAATAATTTACTTCTCTGAAAAAAGTTCCTTGGTATCAAAAGAACGTAAACCTTTCGCTCTCTCTCCGTGCTTTTAAGAGTTGGTGATGACGTGTTACTTCAGAATGATGTACATAAGAGTACAGGTTATATCTCCCTTGTGTCTAAAATGATTACATGAACAATCGTGTCCGTTGAAAAGGCCTGGGGTTGTTGTTGTGACGTGCGGTTTGGTGCGAGCTGACCTAGTCTAACAGGCACTTCAAAGTCAACACTACAACAGTCACCATAGTAACAGACTAATTGACAGCTATCAGACCTTAGAGAGACATGGAAATAGAAGGAATCAACCAAATCTAACTACACAACTTCTCAGACTCGGATTGAATTTAAAGGTACAAATAACCCTCTTCACAACTGAGGCTTTTGTTCCCTCCATCAAGACTTCAGTAGAGGACATTGTGTCCTGTTACATTTAAAGCAGGAGAAAATAGGTCAGGAACACAGACAGTCGATGGCTGAGGATGAAGGAGAAACACTGCGCAACAACAACTACAGTGAGGGAAAAAAGTATTTGATCCCCTGCTGATTTTGTACGTTTGCCCACTGACAAAGATATGATCAGTCTATCATTTTAATGGTAGGTTTATTTGAACAGTGTATATGTGCTTTCTTGAGCAGGGGGACCTTGCGGGCGCTGCAGGATAATCGCACCAACTGTTGTCACCTTCTCACCAAGCTGCTTGGCGATGGTCTTGTAGCCCATTCCAGCCTTGTGTAGGTCTACAATCTTGTCCCTGACATCCTTGGAGAGCTCTTTGGTCTTGGCCATGGTGGAGAGTTTGGAATCTGATTGATTGCTTCTGTGAACAGGTCTCTTTTATACAGGTAACAAACTGAGATTAGGAGCACTCCCTTTAAGAGTGTGTTCCTAATCTCAGCTCGTTACCTGTATAAAAGACACCTGGGAGCCAGAAATCTTTCTGATTGAGAGGGGGTCAAATACTTATTTCCCTCATTAAAATGCAAATACATTTATAACATTTTTTACATGCGTTTTTCTGGATTTTTTTGTTGATATTCTGTCTCTCACTGTTCAAATAAACCTACCATTCAAATTATAGACTGATCATTTCTTTGTCAGTGGGCAAACGTACAAAATCAGCAGGGGATCAAATACTTTTTTCCCTCACTGTACCTTCACTATATGGGAATGCTGCAAAGGCATTCTAGAATGCTGAAAATGAGCATGTCTCTCATACACACACACACCCAGTGCACGCACGCACACTCACACGCTAACAGATAAGCCAGAGTGGAACTGGAATTGTAACGTAACAAAGGAATGCATTGTCTCTCTAAATGGGACAAGAAGTTAGTGTTTTTTCCTGGCAGGGAGTTATCTTTACAGCTGGGTTTAGATCCTCTTATACAGCTACAGCCTACACTTCATACACTATAACAGGCATATTACAAACATTCAAACAACCTTTAGAAAACATAGGATCATCATATCATACGTAACATAAGGACGTAAATGTCCTACCCCGTCATCGGATTAAAGTCTTTCAGAAAAACAACAGGGAGGCAGTTGACATAAAAAATGAACATACGTTGATGAGATGGTTTTTGATGGTTGTTGGTTGACAATGGCAAGAGGTGGTCCACACCAGTAGAATACTCTGCTTGGTGTCAGGGAGGAGGTTTGGACAGAGCTCTCCAGATGCTGGGTTGGGAAGGGACTGGTGTTGGGTATGGAATTGGACAGGGAATGGGATTGGTATTGGGAATGGGATCAGCTAACCAACCACCTCATATCTCTGTTGGTTGGTAAGAAGATCCACTTTGTAGAAATCTAGTAGCCCAGTATGTGTTTTCCCTGTGCAATTCCAAAATTTCCGGGTAAAGTAGAGTGTTGTGGGTTCTGACATCATCTAAGACTGTCTGAATTCCTAGGTGGTCGTTTCCACAAACTGTCTGCATCCAAAATAGCACCCTATTCCCTAAATACTGCATTATATAGGGAGTAGTGTGTCATTACTGTTCCAGTATGTGTGTTGTGTGTGGGGTTGTTGTCCTGCTGGTAGATGGTTGTGGTTCTGGTGCTCAAAGAGAAATCCTAGGAGATTCTGGTCTCCCTTTATCCTTGGCATTAGAATGTGCTGCTTGGGTTGTTCCAATTCCAGACATCTGTGTGTGTGTGTGTCTGTGTGTGTGTGCATGTGACAGTGGTTCTGTGTGGCAGTTTGTGAGGGATTGTGTGTATGTACAGTATGTATGTAGCAGTGTGTTGGTGTAGCTAAGATGTTTGTGTCTACGTTTTGTGACAGTTCTGTAGCTTATGTGGCAGTGTGTTGGTGAGGCAGTATGCATGTTTTTTTGTGTGTGACAGTGTGAGCGTCCGTGCTCTCACTGATCCATCACTCATTGCCTGCATCCACTCTCTCCTCCGTTGCCGTGGGAGGCTCCTGGGAGCGGTGCATGCAGTGGCCCAGTGAATGACGTGTGGCTGAGCGGGAGGGCCGGGTGAAGCAGGAAGTAAGAGACTGGGAGTTACAATCACACGCTGCATCCTGGGACAGGGAGGAGACAGTAAATAGTTATGTTATAATGCCATCCAATGAAAGACAGAGCTGCTCAAATAATATGCTTGGATATGATGTCCTGTATGTGTGTGTGTGTGTGGGACCTACCTCCATGCTGGAGCTCAAGGTCAGGTCCCTGGCAGTGGGGTCATTAGCAGTGGCCCCCAGCTCCTCCCTGGGCATCTGTCTCATGAACCTCTTGTTGACGATCTTGGTGATGCTGTCGTTCCCCACCAGCGAAGCCCCAGAGAGGAATTCAGGCTTGGGCTCATCCATGGCCCCCACCTCCCTCTGCCCCCTCTCCCCTCCCCCGGGCATGGTCGTTCCGGTCCGGCCGCACACGTTCCTGAAAAACTCCTGGAAGGGGCCGTATTTCTGGGCTCCGGTGTCTGGTCCAGGGCCAGAGGGCTTCCCTGCTGCCTGGCGGGCTGGGCTGGCCCCTGGCTCACTCTTCCACAGGGACTCCATGCTGCCTGAGTGTTCCACCACGCTGAACAGGCTGGACAGGCCGTCATTGAGGCCGCTGAGCACGGGGCTGTCCCTGGTGGTGGTGGAACGGGCCCAGGCCGAGCCGCTGGAGGTCGAGGACCGCTGGTGCAGGTTCCACAGGCTGCGGTCTCTGGAGGAAGCCGAGGACAATCCTCCTCCGTCCAGCTTGGAGGATGAGGCGGAAACGCGTCGCTGCAGCTTGGGAGAGCCGTACTTGGGAGAGCAGCAGGGCCTGTCGATGCGGCTGTGCACCTTATCCAGTGACGAGGAGATGTGGCGCGAGCGGGCCGAGGCCAGTGAAGACGAGGACCGGGGGGACCAGGAGGATTTGGTGTGGAAGCCCCCCACCCCCCGAGACCCGAGCCCGTCCGTCTGCAGTCCCACAGTCACAAACTGGGCCGTCTGGGTGGAGCGGCTAGACATCCCCACCGTCTGGCTGCTCGCATCCTTGCTGCACTTCCTCTCCAGAGAGCTGGAGCGGATGGCCTGGCGCACGCAGTTGGTCATCTCCTTCATGTCGTCCGAGAGGTTGGCAGAGATCTCCAGGCCGTGGAAGGGCACTACCCCTGCGCCCCCGCTGCTGTTCTCCAGAAGGTCCCTGTGCTGCTTGGACAGAGAGCTCAACCACTGGTCATAGGACGAAGAGGAGGAGGCAGAGGAGGAGGGAGATTGGCCCTCCAGGGCCCCAGGGTCTGAGGGAGTTGAAGCCCGAGACAGGTGGCCTTGCTGGGCTTGAGGTTTGTCCTGCTTCTCCTTGGCCAGCCGGCTCTCCATACGGCGCATGGTGGGGGGGCTGTAGTAGATGCGGATGCCGGTCTTGTCGGGGGCCGTGTAGCTCCTCTGGATGCTCTCCAGGTCCAGGAAACTGCTGGGGGAGCTGGGGCAGTCCCACGTCTTGAAGGGGGCATCGCCCTGCTCCATCAGAGCCATCTCATTGGTCAGGTACTTCCAGTTCTTCCTGGTGAGGTCACCCAGGTCTGTGTGGGCTAGAAAGGCAGGGGCCTGGATGTTGGGCTGGTCCTTCTCTCCCTCCTCATTGGCTGTCCCGTTGACCTCCTGACCCGGAAGGAAAGGACAGGCCTCCAGCAGACCCTCCAACATGGACGGGACAGACTTGGTCCTGATAGAAGAAAAATGATATTCTTTTTCAGCTATGACTATTAATTTTTCATTTGAAATAGTGCTTTTTGTACAAATGTTACCTTGATAAATTGGTTCCATTTGTAACAGCGTCCGGTGCAGTTTCTCTTTCGGGGGTGGTTTTGTCGTGCAGAGACTGTAAGGGAGAGAAACAAGGAGCCATTTTTAGTTGCCTGTCCAACCAGTCCGGTAGTTTTTATCGGCAGTGTTTAATGGAGGACATGAGGAGGATGTGGCCGTCATCTAGGAGATACAGTATTTCTCCCTTGCTGTCCATGTAGTGACGCTGACTCAGGAGCTTTCAGGTCACAGGGAGATGAGCTCACACACACACATACACATACACATTTCCTCTCAGAGGGGGAGAGAGGAGAGAGGAAAGAGGAGAAGGGGGAGGGAGAGGAGGAAGGATGGGGGTGGTTGAAATGAATCCTACAGTACGTGACTGCTGTTCACTTCATGAAGGAATTTTTGTATTTTGATGCACAATGCAAATGTGACTAACTGACACAGAAGCAACAGTAGGGCTACGACAGACAGGAGAAAAGACATGTCCTATTGTGTGCTTGGCCTCAGTGCTATGTTTCCTGTGCCGTTTTCTAACACAATAAGTATTGGAGTGAGAGAGAGACCTATTTTCCAAGACCAGCCAGTCAGTTTGGGACAGACTGGATGCCAGCCAGACAGACACAGGTAATGGGGCCAGTCTGACTAAACACCCTCCAGTGTGGTCTGGCCATGCAGCAGACACACTCATGTTCAGCAGCATGTTGTCTCTCCTTGCATTCCTCTACTGGCCAGTTATCCCTAACCCCTCTATGGAAAACACTAGACCACTAGTTACAGAGTACAGTACTGCATACAAGCCAACTATGTCATGTCCAATGTCCTACCAGTGACATTAACCTCCCATTCCACCCCAACAAAAGACCACACTGAGGAAAAAATAAGCAAAAGATGATGAGGAGGAGGAAGGAGGAAAATTAGGAGTGTCACTAGATGCCACATGGGTAGCTAGTGTCACTCAGTACTCACTACATGGCTAAGCTACACTACTAGACCATGCTATAGTAGAATGGAGTGCAGAGCAGAATAGAAGCTTATCAGGACTGAGGTGGTCTCTCCTATCATAGCTACGCAGACGACACACAATTCATTTTCTCCTTTCCCCCTTCTGATAACCAGGTGGCGAATCGCATCTCTGCATGTCTGGCAGACATATCAGTGTGGATGTCGGATCACCACCTCAAGCTGAACCTCGGCAAGACGGAGCTGCTCTTCCTCCCGGCGAAGGACTGCCCGCTCCATGATCTCACCATCACGGTTGACAACTCCATTGTGTCCTCCTCCCAGAGTGCAAAGAACCTTGGCGTGACCCTGGACAACACCCTGTCGTTCTCCGCTAACATCAAAGCGGTGAACCGATACTGCAGGTTCATGCTCTACAACATTTGCAGAGTACGACCCTACCTTACACAGAAAGAGGCACAGGTCCTAATCCAGGCACTTGTCATCTCCCGTCTGGATTACTGCAACTCGCTGTTGGCTGGGCTCCCTGCCTGTGCCATTAAACCCCTACAACTTATCCAGAACGCTGCAGCCCGTCTGGTGTTCGACCTTCCCAAGTTCTCTCATGTCACCCCGCTCCTCCGCACACTCCACTGGCTTCCAGTTGAGGCTTGCATCTACTACAAGACCATGGCGCTTGCCTACGGAGCTGTGAGTGGAACGGCACCTCCTTACCTTCAGGCTCTGATCAGACCCTACACCCAAACGAGGGCACTACGTTCATCCACCTCTGGCCTGCTAGCTCCCCTACCTCTACGGAAGCACAGTTCCCGCTCAGCCCAGTCAAAGCTATTTGCTGCTCTGGCACCCCAATGGTGGAACAAGCTCCCCAACGACGCCAGCACAGCGGAGTCACTGACCACCTTCCGGAGACACTTGAAACCCTACCTCTTTAAGGAATACCTGGAATAGTATAAAGTAATCCTTCTACCCCCCCCCCCCCCCCCCCCCCCCATAAAAAACAACAACTATCATAAATTGAATGCTCCAATTTGTAAGTCGCTCTGGATAAGAGCGTCTGCTAAATGATGTAAATGTAAATGTAATCCAGTTACCATCTTGCACTGTAGCCTCTGCTCCCACTGGCCCCTCTCCTGACTGAAATGCTCTAGGAGCTCCAGCTTCTCGCGGTTCCAGTTCTTCTCGCCCATCTGCAGCTGCTTGGTCAGGTCCATGACGGCGGCGTATGAGTCGGCAAGGAGGTGCTGGTGCTCCTCACGCTCCCTCTTCAGCGCCACCTTCAGCTCGGGAGGTCCTTGGAGGTCCTTCTCCCCCCCGGCTAGGTCAGCCTTGCCCACCTTGCTCTCCAGCTTTTGCGGAGGGTGACAGAGAGAGAGGAGGGGAGGAGAGGTTGGTGAGGCTGATGATCATGTGACACTATGGGGGATGTAGTGCAGGCCATAACAAGTTCTTGTTCCATGCATGTTTGAGCAGCTAAATTACATTTATATGTGTTGATGTAATACCAAAAGTAATGAATACCCAAATGCTCAACAAACACATCCTACACTGTCTCCCTGATTAACACACCAGATCCATTTATTTCATTTTCCTTTCTTTTTTTCCATCTCTGAGAACACTAAAATGTTTATCTGAAGATCTAAACAGACTTTATTTGCTTTTAAGTATTCCTCCCTCTATAAAACGAGACGTGGAGCGAGGCACTTAATGAGAAAGCCCTATAAATAAAGAACAGCAGCAGATGCTTCTCGTGTGTGTGTGTGTGTGTGTGTGTGTGTGTGTGTTACTTTTAAGTAATCCTTCCCTTGTTTTTAAGGTGTAAGAGAAAACCTGTAAACTCCTCTTATCAGTCACATTAAAAGACAACAGCTAAAGACGCCCGCTACATTTCTCCCTCCTATATCCCTCCTCTCTCCGCCTCTCCCTCCTCTCCAATCCCCCCATTAGAATGAATCAAGCAGTGCTTCAAAGCTGAGGCGATTGCTCTTTATTTCTTTTACGAGTCCGTCTCATTTTTTTTTTCTCGTATTACAACTCACAGCTTTCGGGGGAGGGAGCCCCATCAATCGCCATGGTGCCGGAGGATGACTGCAGGTTCCAGCCTTATATGGTGCTAATGGAGGAGTCTGGGTGGCCTATCAGACGAATATCCCTAATGAGTTTTATTGGTGAGGCGTTGCGGGGTGGTGACTTAATGGTTGTCTGGAGGTTTATAGCACAGAGAAAGACATTTGCTCTGAACACTCCCAATTCACCCAAGATTCCCCCCAAAACCACTGAAGACAGACAAGAGTCCCAAATGGCACTATGTTTTAGTGCACTACTTTTGACCAGGGCCCACATGGGTCTCAAAATTCAAAATTAGATAGTGCACTATATAGGGAATAGGGTGCCATTTGTGACGCATCTGTAGGCATTACGCCTTAAGACTGGTTACACAGTGTAACAGCTGCTGGTGCCATGCCACATTGCCAGGATGCCATCCTACTGATATGATTGGCTGAGCAGAGCAGGAAGAGATTGGACCCAGCTGTGCCATCCAGTTCCTTCCTGGGCACCAGCACAGTGGGTTTACACAATACAAGGGCACAGTAACAGCGTAGTTTATAGGGGTGAAGGGGTAAAGGGGGCACAGTAACATTGTGTGTGTGTGTGTGTGAGTGTGTGTGTGTGTGTGTGTGTGTGTGTGTGTGTGTGTGTGTGTGTGTGTGTGTGTGTGTGTGTGTGTGTGGCTTGCATACTCCGGTGCGTGCATGACTCTCAGGGTGGGGCAGCAGATGATGAATGAGTTTCTTTAAATATACAGAAAAGCAAAATGAATCAAGCTCTGATTATGCCATAAAGGTTAGTCAGTAAATCTGATCTAATACATTGGCGGTCACGAGTCATGACCACAGTCAAATTCCACGTGACCATTTAGTCATGGTAACTAGGCTTTTCCAAGCTCTGATGCTGCTGATGGTGATTATTAGCCTACCAAACTTGCTAACTGCCTGGTACTCAGCACTCTATTGTCTCTCTAATCACTCAATGCAAATATAATCGAATATCTAATCAAACACTTCATGAGAGCCCATGAGCTCATGTTGCGCAACATTTCTATAGGCTATGCAATTGCGTGAGAAAACAGAGTTTTAAAAAGAGGAGGATCCCATCAGCTTTCTATATTATAGGCCTACTATATTTATTTCTCAATTTTCCTAATATTAAGCACATATAAGGCATCCAGGCTCTGTCGTAGCTGGCCGTGACCGGGAGACCCATGGGGCGGCGCACAATTGGCCCAGCGTCGTCCAGGGTAGGGGAGGGAATGGCCAGCAGGGATGTAGCTCAGTTGGTAGAGCATGGCGTTTGCAACGCCAGGGTTGTGGGTTCGATTCCCACGGGGGGCCAGTATGAAAAAATAAAAAATAAAAATAATAATAATATATATATATATGCACTCACTAACTGTAAGTCGCTCTGGATAAGAGCGTCTGCTAAATGACTAAAATGTAAATGTATAAAAAATAAAAATATATAAAAAGCACATTGCTTCTCTTTACAACAGGAGTATAGCCTACCTGGCTGGCATGAAAATGAACCATGGGAAAAGCGTCCTCCTTTCGCTATTTAAGTGCATACATGACGTATTTTTTCCCCATGCCCCTGTTTCAAGACAGGTGCATGATAATGGTCCATTCTAAATCAAAACAAATTTCACACATAGTATTTAATATATGTAAAGACAAGATTAAATCAAGAATAGTCTGATGGGTGACAATTTTAGCCTATGAATTGTGAATGATACATTAATCCGCTTTACAACCGGTGTAGAGCCTAACTGGCATACATAGGTGGCGTGTGAGTTTCAAGTTTGGGGAAGATAATTTTCATCATAAAAATGCACCTTTATAATAAAGGATTACATGCATAATCGCATTTGCGGTCTCTTTTGAGAATGGTGTTTTCCCGCTAATTGATTGCATTTTGGAACATTCACGCTTATAGCCAGCCTAATGCTGTGTGCGCATTGCTGCACTTATAATGGGGCGGCAGGTAGCTTAGTGGTTAAGAGCGTTGTACCAGTAACCGAAAGCCGACTAGGTGAAAAATCTGTCGATGTGCCCTTGAGCAAGGCACTTACCCCTAATTGCTCCTGTAAGTCGCTCTGGATAAGAGCGTCTGCTAAATGACCAATTAATTTTTTTATTTATAATGTAAAGAAATAGCCTAATAGTTTATCAACATTTTAAGCTAAATGTTCTGATCTGTTGCATCAGCCTCATTGGCTTTAAACATTTTTTTTTATACTAGTGGTTGTATTAATTTAGGATCTATCGCATCCCACAACTGTCCCAAACTATGTTTGGAATATTTATTTCTCGCACAGGACAAGTTGACCAATTACGGCCACACAAAGGGGATGCCGCCAGGAAATTCTAGGCATTATCAAGTGCTTGTCAAATTGTGAATGAGAGACTGATGAAGTGTGTGCGGCCTGCAACTTTTTTCAAACCATCATTAGTCGCGTCATGCAGCCTTAGAATGTATTAAAAATCTAAACATATAGCCCAACGTTTGTATCACAACTAAAGTTGCATAAATAACTCTAAATTAAGAATATAGGAGGACCTGTTTCTTTGTTAACTGCTCAACACAGAATGGCCGCATGTGCGCACTCCCTCAAATCATTTGGAGAAAATATTATTTATATTTTATTCAGCTATGTTCAATTGTATTCTTCATACTATAAGATAATATAAAATAATGCCACTGAATTCTAAGCAGATCTTGTCTGCTAGTGTAGCCCACAGCCATATGGCATAGCCAGATCAGGGCCTAACATAAGGACAACTCAGAGTATGCTATTCTGTCCTTCTGAAATAGACTACATTCTTCAAATCATGTTTCTTTAGACCTGTCTAAAATAAATAATGGATTTATTGTGAAGGTGTTGGCTATATTACATGGATTTATTAGACTTCTTAAAATGTAGATGTTCCAAAGGTCTGCATCAGTGGCTTGTAGGCTATGCGTGGAAGCCAGGAGATGCTAAATGTGTTTATGTAGTGGTGTAAAGTACTTAAGTAAAAATACTTTAAAGTACTACATAAGTCGTTTTTGGAGGTATCTGTACTTTTACTTCACTACATTCCTGAATAAAATAATGTACTTTTTACTCCATACATTTTCCCTAAGACCCAAATGTACTCGTTACATTTGGAATACTTAGCAGGTCAGGAAAATGGTCCAATTCACACACTTATCACTAAACACAAATGCTTAGTTTGTAAATGATGTCTGAGTGTTGGAGTGTGCCCCTGGCTACCTGTAAATGATGTCTGAGTGTTGGAGTGTTCCCCTGGCTACCTGTAAATGATGTCTGAGTGTTGGAGTGTGCCCCTGGCTACCTGTAAATGATGTCTGAGTGTTGGAGTGTGCCCCTGGCTATCTGTAAATGATGTCTGAGTGTTGGAGTGTGCCCCTGGCTACCTGTAAATGATGTCTGAGTGTTGGAGTGTGCCCCTGGCTACCTGTAAATGATGTCTGAGTGTTGGAGTGTGCCCCTGGCTATTCGTATATAAAAAAATATATTTTTTATTGTGCCGTCTGGTTTGCTTAATATAAGGAATTTGAAATGATTTATACATTTACTTTTGATACTTAAGTATATTTAAAGCCAAATACTTTTAGACTTTTACTCAAGTAGTATTTTACTGGGTGACTTTCACTTTTACTTCAGTCATTTTCTGTTTAGGTATATTTACTTTTACTCAACTATGACAATTGGGTACTTTTTCCCAAACAGTGTTTATGTTAATTAACGGTCAATTACCGTGAGACTGGCAGTTATTTGCTTGACAATCACCTGCTGACAAAATTTAATGACTGCCACAGCCCTAGCGGTGGCTGTTTTAATTTCCAATTTGGTGTGGAGTCACCTGTCAGACCTTTCAGATGACAAATTATCCCAGACTGGGGGAAAGAGAGTCAACGCTTTGATTATGGCCATGGTTCATACAGGTGACGCCATTTTAAAGTGTTTCAACTGAATTACTACATTGTCATCTGGGTCTTCTGGTGATACACAAACAAAAGACAAATCAGGACTCTAACCCGGGGCAAAATCTAGACTTGAGCCAAGGCTACAGACTGGGCCATGCTCCTACAGTCCATGTAGGGCCTTCTTTCATCAGGATATATACATGAAAAAAAAAGAAGTTAGTTGTGTCCAGTTTAATAAAGGTCTAGAACTATAGCACAAGAAGCCCCTTTTCCTCTCTCCTTAACCCTTATTTTCCCTCCCTCTCTCCCTCTCACCCTGACACACAACACATTACTACTGCCAGGGAGGAGAGAGACAGAAGCCTCTACGGTGGATACAGGAGGAGGAAGGAGGGGGGAGGGATGAACGAAAAAGCCTGGTCCAGCCCACTCCTCCTTGGTTTTAAATTGTGACCCAGTTATGGTGTTGAGTAGCTGTGGTGGCGCCGCCAGGACAGGGATCCCCATGGCACAGTGCTGCTCTCAGGGCAGGCAACCATTTAGCTATGCCCTTACAGACACATGGAGGAGGGACTGCAGAGGGAGGGAACAGTCTGACAGGACCAAGGCAACATGCTTCAAACTCTCTCTGTGTCTACTGTATCTCTCTCTCTCGCCCTCTGTTTATCCCCCCCTCTCTCTCATTATTCCTCTCCATCCCTTCCTCTCTTAATTATTTTTCTCTATTTCACCTTCTCTTTCCCCCCTGGTCTGATAATATATATATATTATCTTGGTGTAATGCAGTGGCCTGTCTCAAAGCCTGTTCATTTAAGTCATTACGGAGGCTGCTGTTATGAAAACGTCTCAGGCTGGCAGTCGTCTTTATATTAAACTCATCTCTCACTGCCAGTTACCCTCTATCTATCTATCTATCTATCTATCTATCTATCTATCTATCTATCTATCTATCTATCTATCTATCTATCTATCTATCTATCTATCTATCTATCTATCTATCTATCTATCTATCTATCTATCTATCTATCTATCTATCTATCTATCTATCTATCTATCTATATATCTATCTATCTATCTATCTCACACACACACACACACACACACACACACACACACACACACACACACACACACACACACACACACACACACACACACACACACACACACACACACACACAAAGTGAACGGAGGTCTGGGGGAAAAGCAGACGGCCAGACTAAACCACAGATAGATTGGCACAAATCCACCACCTCAGGATATCAGCAGTTTCAAGCCATTTGTCAACATGAGTATTGGTGATTAAATGAATACCCAGTGACTGATTCATACTTCTGATCATCTGTAACATAGCTCTCCGCAGCTCGACAACTTTTCTCAGTAAAATGTAACAAATGACAGGTCATGTCATCCTTTATGAATGGGTAACGTGATCTTTGTACAGCTTCAGGGGGTGCTCTCCTGCATGCTGAATGAAGACCTTTATTTAAACTAGAAAACCTCACTTAATGGTCATACAATCAATGGCTTTGGCCCAGACATCCAGGTAGCCAAAAGAAGAAACGATTGGGGCCCAGTAGCTATAGCATGTCTGACTGATCAGGCAAGAGTCTACTCTAAAGTATTTACGCTACCTCCAAGTAGGGAAAGATTATAACCCTGGTGGCCAGGGTCCTATTATCAGTCCTCTCTCTCCAGTAGTCTGTGTGATACCTGGGTGGTATAAGGGCTAATGTATTACCCTCTCAGGGATGCTTTATGCTAAGCCTCTTAGATAATGGTCAGGCAGGGACTGAGACTCATGTGAAATTCATTGGTCTGTAAGCTACATAATAGCCTGGCCTCTGAACTAGCCAAATAACACCTGATGGTGGAAGGTTTTTAGCTGGTTTTAGATAAACTATGGGTTTGAAACTATAACTATACGACAGAGGGTTTCTATACCATGTCAGCCATATTGACTGTACCCTTAAGGGTGAAGTCAAATTTCCATTCTAATAATTCTATTTCTATGCTAGTTGCTTCCTTCTAGGTGGTGTGGTCTTACCTGGGAGATGAGGCTCTTGAGCTCTGTCCTCTCCACTTCCCAGGAGGCCTTAGCACGGGCAAACTGCTGGGTCAGTTCCTGAGAGCCCTGACGCTCCTCTCGCAGCTCCCCGCTCAGATCCTGGAGCGCTCCCTTCAGGTCTGCCAGAGTGCTGCTCACGCCGCTCGTCTAGGGCACAGACAGGATGGAGAATCAGTGAATGACCTCTCAATGTCATAGAGAGGAACATGACATTTGAGAAGATCTCCATGTCATTCATTTGATCAATAACTGCTGTTTCCTGTGTATTGTTAGGGTTGTTTTCAGTAGACACTAAACAGAAAGAACTGGCTGAAACCCGAGAGGAACTACCTGAACTTGTCCAATAACAAAGGCTTGTTTTCGTTTTCTGTAGCAACATTCTTTTGCAACAGTGTGCACTAATGAATATGACCCAGGTGTGACCTGTTCCTGTACCTGTTTGTAGCTCTTCTCCAGCACACAGAGCTCCTTGGAGATGGTGGGGCAGAGGGGCTGCTCCTCTGCGGCGGTCATCTTGTTGTCTCCCTGGTGAGGGTGTGCGGCCAGACTCTCCTCCTCCAGCAGCAGGTACAGGTCCTTCAGACTGTTCACCTGTAGGGACACATAGCAAATTATTAGTCAGCCAGTCAGTCAGTCAGCCAGTCTGCTTCTTCAACAGCTAAAAATCTAATCAACCAATCAAAGTACCATGCCACAGCTAAGTGGCTGATTCAAAGAGAGAGGGTGGCCAGTCAGTCCTGTACCTCCAAGACATCCTTGGCCTCCGTGTCCAGCTTGCGTCCCATCCGCCACTGTTTGAGGAAGCAGCGCAGCTTGAGGCTGAGCAGCAGCAGGGTCTGCTTGAGCTGCTGGGACTCCTGCAACATCAGGTTCCTTTCCTGGCTCCAGAACTTCTGCTGTAGCCGTGTCTGCAGACTTAGACTCTGTAGCTGGAAGTCCCTCCGCGTCAGGGCCTTCTGGTGCTCCTCCTGCAGCTGGAGATAGAGGGAGAGACACACACACATAGAGAGAGAGAGGGGACAGGCCAGTCAGTGGGCTACAGGGGCTCACAGTGCCAGTGTTGTTATGATAAGGGATTAGGTGCAGCACCGTTTGCTTTAGCTGTTTGCTAAGTGGGTGCATGCATGTATATAATAAACTGTTGTTGTTGTACATATCATAGTAGTGATACCATACTGTTCTCAGGTGCGGTGCATACTCTGTATTAGCATTGACAAGACGTTACAGTAACAACGCTCTGTGTGGTTTAGAAGGGTTTGGCTGTAGTCAGTGTCGTGTACATAGTTATATAACAGTTTTATCTCTATGGTTGTGTACCTGTGTGAATGTCTGTGAGCTGCTGTGGGTGGGGTCTCTGTGAGCCTGTCTCTCCACTGTCAGTTCCTCCTGCATCCCGCGAGCATTCTCCCTCGCCTCCCACAGAAGAGCCTGCAGCTCAATGATCTGCTGAGGGAGGGAGGGAGCGAGGGAGAAGGAGAGATCGAGGAGGAGTGGGAGGGAGAGAGAGAATAGAGAGAGGGTGAGAGGAGAGAGAGAGGAGACGAGAGGAGGTGAGGAGAGAGATGAGAGAGAGGAGAGAGGAGAGAGACGAGATGAGGCGCGAAGTAGAGAGGAGAGAGAGGGAGATGAGAGGAGAGAGAGGGGAGAGAGAGAGAGAAGTACACCATTATAGCTAGAGTACAATACACTCTGCAATGCTACATCACCCTGTAAAGTGTAAAGCACACCACACCACTTCCCACAACTGAAAAATATCCTCCATTGACAATAACTCAACTCCAAACAGAGAACAACAATCCCAACCTTATGTTACACAGTTAAATACATACAGCACACCCACACACCCACACTGGGCCCCATGGTCCAATAAACACACCATTAGCGCTAACCCACGAACTGCTCATCAAATGGCCTCCGTTCTAACGACAGGCACAAGACCAGCCACTCAAGCTTTTCATTATCACTCAGCGCCCAACATTTGTATTTTCTCGCCAATTAGACCAAGTGTGTAGAATTTGATAAGGTGGGACATTGGGGGTGTTCTGTGGAAGACTGAAATACCCAGAGGGGCATTAATATACTCTGAAGGTTTGAAAATGAACATGATTCCATTCTCCAATGTCCACTGTGTCATAATGTTCCATGCATATCTGTGTTTAAATGGCGCTTTAAGACTACTGGTTGCTGCTGTGTTTCGAGGTACAATGACAACCTTTATGTTTTGTCTCAAGATTCTCTGAGGGCTTTGACAGATACAGTGGGGGAAAAAAGTATTTAGTCAGCCACCAATTGTGCAAGTTCTCCCACTTAAAAAGATGAGAGAGGCCTGTAATTTTCATCATAGGTACACGTCAACTATGACAGACAAATTGAGAAAGAAAAATCCTGAAAATCCCATTGTAGGATTTTTAATGAATTTATTTGTAAATGATGGTGGAAAATAAGTATTTGGTCATCTACAAACAAGCAAGATTTCTGGCTCTCACAGACCTGTAACTTCTTCTTTAAGAGGCTCCTCTGTCCTCCACTCGTTACCTGTATTAATGGCACCTGTTTGAACTTGTTATCAGTATAAAAGACACCTGTCCACAACCTCAAACAGTCACACTCCAAACTCCACTATGGCCAAGACCAAAGAGCTGTCAAAGGACACCAGAAACAAAATTGTAGACCTGCACCAGGCTGAGAAGACTGCATCTGCAATAAGTAAGCAGCTTGGTTTGAAGAAATCAACTGTGGGAGCAATTATTAGGAAATGGAAGACATACAAGACCACTGATAATCTCCCTCGATCTGGGGCTCCACGCAAGATCTCACCCCGTGGGGTCAAAATGATCACAAGAACGGTGAGCAAAAATCCCAGAACCACACGGGGGGACCTAGTGAATGACCTGCAGAGAGCTGGGACCAAAGTAACAAAGCCTACCATCAGTAACACACTACGCCGCCAGGGACTCAAATCCTGCAGTGCCAGACGTGTCCCCCTGCTTAAGCCAGTACATGTCCAGGCCCGTCTGAAGTTTGCTAGAATGCATTTGGATGATCCAGAAGAGGATTGGGAGAATGTCGTAGGGTCAGATGAAACCAAAATATAACTTTTTGGTAAAAACTCAACTCGTCGTGTTTGGAGGACAAAGAATGCTTAGTTGCATCCAAAGAACACCATACCTACTGTGAAGCATGGGGGTGGAAACATCATGCTTTGGGGCAGTTTTTCTGCAAAGGGACCAGGACGACTGATCCGTGTAAAGGAAAGAATGAATGGGGCCATGTATCGTGAGATTTTGAGTGAAAACCTCCTTCCATCAGCAAGGGCATTGAAGATGAAACGTAGCTGGGTCTTTCAGCATGACAATGATCCCAAACACACCGCCCGGGCAATGAAGGAGTGGCTTCGTAAGAAGCATTTCAAGGTCCTGGAGTGGCCTAGCCAGTCTCCAGATCTCAACCCCATAGAAAATCTTTGGAGGGAGTTGAAAGTCCGTGTTGCCCAGCGACAGCCCCAAAACATCACTGCTCTAGAGGAGATCTGCATGGAGGAATGGGCCAAAATACCAGCAACAGTGTGTGAAAACCTTGTGAAGACTTACAGAAAACGTTTGACCTGTGTCATTGCCAACAAAGGGTATATAACAAAGTATTGAGAAACTTTTGTTATTGACCAAACACTTATTTTCCACCATAATTTGCAAATAAATTCATTAAAAATCCTACAATGTGATTTTCTGGATTTTTTCTCCTCATTTTGTCTGTCATAGTTGACGTGTACCTATGATGTAAATTACAGGCCTCTCTCATCTTTTTAAGTGGGAGAACTTGCACAATTGGTGGCTGACTAAATACATTTTTTCCCCACTGTAAGTGAAAATACAATGTCATTTATTTTCATGTTAGCTTATTTAGACGTTGCATTGCTGGAATCATTGTTTTTGTTGTTGTACAATTTCACCAACCATTATTCTTTGGGAAAAAAGAAAGTTGCACACTCAATATCTACTCACAATCTACTACAATCTACTTGGTTATCTACTAGGGATAACCAACGTTTTGGCAGTGTGCCCTCCCAATAACTCTACCCTCACTGTGTATTCTGAGAGAGTCCCTGCCAGTGCAAGTTCCAATTGCACTATGACACTGTAGCTCACTATTACTCAGCGAGTCACAAATTGATTTGCAGTAGATTTTTTGTATAATTTACACCGTAGCCCGCTTCTGCATTTCTCTCCCTTTCTCCTTCTCCTCAGCAGCCTGTGCAAGTGACTTCTGACACCCTCATTTTCTCACCAAAGGGATCCAAGGAGTAAGAGTGAGGGCAGCTCAATTTCAGCTGCTAAACCTTTCAATTTCCTCCCATTCCAATGCATATTCGCCTCGTAGACCATAAAAATTGTATAAAAGGCTTACATTCCCGAGCCAAGCCTTAGACGCAGACTCCATGCACATAAATGGATAACCTGCTGTCAGTTTCCAATGCCCTTCACAGCATTATGTCGGTCTTACTGTCCTGCAGAAGAATATTCTATTTAAGTTGCTTTCTGAGCAGGATATAGTACCCTATTTCTAACATTACAGAGTTACTCTGAAAGGATTGGTTGGTGGTAATGGACACAAGAGGCACCACTCAGTGGGGAGAGACCATGGCCGTATTCATTAGGTACTAAACAGAAGAAAACTGACTAAAACGGGGTGGGACTACCTGCACAACATTTTGAAACTATGTTCCCTAATGAATATGACACAGAACACAGTCACCCTGATGGACTCCTGGTTCCCACCAACACTCCCACATCCATGTCCATACATCAGCCCTGTCATGCTTCTATCGACCGACCCTGTCTCTACAGACAGACAGAGCACTCAGGCAGTCTGCGTGTGATAACATCGCCTGGAGTGGGGCCAAGGTGTTACTGCCTGCCCTATCCCCTGTCCTTTCCTCCTTCCCTCGCCGGACCCGGTCCTGATCTCCCCTGTCCTGGCAGCCTAATCATTGATCACTGAGAGGGGAGAGGAGCAGGGTGGATGATGATGTGTAGAAGCCAACAGTAGTTTGTGATGCAGTGATTACTGAGGAGAGACACAGGGTGAATTATTAGGCCTACTTATTTCAAACACGTGCCCCGTGGGCCAAAAGTCGCCCACAAGCTGATTTAATGTGGCCCGCTCAATGCTGTCATAGTTAATTGCCTACTATGATTATATAATTATATATTTCAAGAATGTGTTTTAATTCAGGAGATACAGAGAAATCAACTGAGTTATTGAACCTTTAATAACCAGCCTATTGACAGCAACAATGAGGTTCTCTAGTTCTCACATTTAGGAAGTGTGTGTTCAGATGACTAACTGATTATGTGCTACAGTACAGCCCAGAGAGAAACCTTCCCTTTCATGACTCCCACATTATAAAACTAACATTGTATATCCTGTAACAGGAGAGTGGGCTGTGGCGATTGTGTTTCTCTCTGCTCTATTCATCGCTTCTGCAGATGCCCCCTCCCTCACAGTCCAGGTTTCCAAGGAGACCTGCTACGGAAAGGTCAAACGAACACTGAGCAGCAGACACTTCCTCTTCTCACTTCAAGAGCTGATGTCATTGTGTTTACTGCAGCAGCAGTGTGATTCCAGCCTGATTCACCCACTATCTATCACATGAAAGAACGAGGGAAGAGAGCCTAAAGACATGTTTGGGCCATCAAGGAGTGCACAGTGTGTGTGTGTGTTTGTGCATGCATGCGTGTATTTTGACTATTCTATAGCAGTGACCTACCAGGGCTGTTTCCGTCTCCTGTGTTTCCTGGTTCTTGTTGCTGTCAGTGTGGCTGTCACCCTCCTCCTCCTCCTGACCTTTCACCTCGTGCTCTGATTGGTCCCTAAAGTCAGGCTGCTGCATGCATGGGCAAGTTAATGAAAACAAATAAAAAGATAGGAAGAGGAACAGAGGAAAGGGAAGGAAGAGGATGAGGGGAGACATATGGTAGGGATGGAGGGCATCCAAAACAAAACAATACAACCAAAATGGAAGATCCGTAAGATACATTGAAAATAAAAAATTAACCTCACAGGACAAAGAAAAGTATGTAAAGGAAAAACAGCTTTGTCAGAGTGGCGTAGGACAGAGTGGAGAACAGAACCAAAACAATGATGAGAAGTAGGAGCGACGGCTGGAGGGTTGGGGGAGGAGGGGGGGAGTGAAGGAGAGTAAGAGGAGAGAGTAGGAGAGGGGATTAAAATAATCAAAAGAGTGAGAGAAGAGAGAGGAAAAAGAGGAAAGGGAAACAAGTGCAGAAAGCGGCGGTCATGGTGCCCATGCAGTGAGAGGGGGGAGAAGGAGGGACGTGGTGAGAGAGGGAGGGACGGGGTGAGAGAGGGAGGGACGGGTTGAGAGGGAGTGAGAGAGGGAGGGACGGGGAGAGGGAGGGACGGGGAGAGAGAGGACGGGACGGGGAGAGAGAAGGAGGGACGGGGTTAGAGAGGGAGGGACGGGGTGAGAGAGGGAGGGACGGGGAGAGAGAGGACGGGACGGGGAGAGAGAAGGAGGGACGGGGTGAGAGAGGGAGTGACGGGGTGAGAGAGGGAGGGACGGGGGGAGAGCGGATGGGGTTGGGACTCAGTAGGCCTCTAATGGAGCTTAACTCTAAGCATAGAACCAACTTTACTAGAGTGCATTTACATGGATATGCGAATTGTCTTTTGATGTGTGTAAATAGATTGTGGTTTATGGTTTCTATGATTTCTTTATCATTCTAGTTGTCATGCAGCACAGTGGTGGCTCCATTTGAGCCCTGAGCTCTATGTAGCATCTATAACAGGTTATAAGGCATCAAAGCAGCATGCGTGTCATGTCATGTGTGCCGGCAGCATTCTGTGCCAGGGAGAAACCATAGTGTGAGCTGGGAAGGGGGGGAGTATTAGCCATACCGTGGTTCAAAGAGCAAACGGAACAGAAATAATAGACTTACTACAAAAAAGGAGCATAAAAAAGAAAAGGAAAGAAACATAATCAATAATAAATGAGTGGTGGGAAGAGGAGGAGGGTGTTCATTCTTACCTTCTGCTCTGCAGTGATCTCACCCGCCTGGTCGTCTGGAGGGCAGGGGTGTGAGGCAGAGGGTGCATCCGTCACGGAGTCTCCAGCTTCGGACAGTAGAGGCAGGGGCGATGTCCCCTCCACCTGCTCTCTCCCAGGAGGGGCGCTGCCGAAGCTCTCCACTCGCTTCACGAAGGCCTGGAGCTGGGTGTGCAGCGCTCGCAGCCTGCCCGTCAGAGCCTCCACCAGGGGCAGGTCCTGGAGCTTAGAGGGTTGGGCCTGCTGGCTCTTCTCTGGGACACAGGGCTCTGCAGCCTCCCCGGAGGAGGTGGAGGAGATCTTGCGGTAGAGGGAGGGGCAGTTGGAGTCGGAAGCGGTCAGCAGCTGGATGGCTGTAGAGATGAGGCGGGCCTGGTCCCTCATGGCCAGCAGGGCCTCATGGTCCTTCAGCCCCAGGGGGACGTTACCGTGCAGGTGAAAGGGAACCCCCGTGGACGTCTTCTTCTCCCTCTCCTCCAGGGGCTCGTTCTCCCCTCCGATGGGGCCTTCACGGCGCGCTTGGCTGGGGAGGCACTCGGCCGAGTCCCCTGCCTCAGCGTCGGTCTCCAGGGCTGGCCTAGAAGAGCTGTGGCAGGAGGCCAGGTCGCAGCGCTGCAGGTTGGAAAGCAACACACGGTTCTCGTACTGGAGCTTCTTCACCTTGCCGCTCAGCTCCCCGATCTGGAGCCTGGCGGCCTGCAGCAGCTCCTCCTGGGGTGCCTCGGTGCTGATGAGAGCCCCCGCACCATGACCGTCCTCCAGGAGAGAGATGGATGAGGAGTCGTTCTGGTCTGGGTCCAACGCCAGCGGCAGCTCCGACTTGTAGCGGTTGATCTCGTTCATCAGCAGCTTGTTCTGCTCCTCCATCTCCAGCAGCGAGCGCCGCAGCAGCTCTGCCTCCTCCTCCACAAACTGCAGGTGCCTCTGGATCTCCATCACATTCTCCAGACCTCCTCCTCCAGGGCCTCCCATGCCTCCGACCCCCAGCCCTGGTGGCAGCTCCTGGCCCTTCATGTCGTCCATCTCGGCCCGCAGGCCACGGTTCTCCACCTCCAGTTCCACGATGCGCCGGCTCAGCAGGTTGGCTTCCTCCTCCACCAGCTTCAGGTGAACTCTAACCTCGGCCTCGCGGGTGTGGGGCGAGTCGTTCACCTCCTCCACGGTGAGCGAGGCGTCCACGTCGCCGTAGACCGAGCGGTACTTGGCCAGCTCCTCCCGCATGGCCTCGCTGTCCTTGGCCATCTTGGTCAGCTTCTTGCACATGAGCGCTGACTCCTCCTTGGCAAAATGGAGCTGGCACTTAAGGTCAGAGTTGTCCTCCTGCTGGCCACAGAGAGGCACAGAGACAGGCTGTTAGGAACACTGACAACACACTGACTCACTCACACAAACACACAATGACAATATATCCTCTCACATATCACAGAGAGAGAGACAGAGAGAGAAAGATAGTGAGGCCAAAACGACAAATTAAAAAAAGCTAATTGTGCGGGAGTTTTTTTTCTATTAACATGTTAAAATCTGTCAAATTCTTCATAATAGCTTGAACTCATTTGCCATCCTCATGGTAACCCCATCAAATATTTAGACCAATGCAAAGCTATGGATTTTTTGGGGCAAAGTGGGATAGGTCGATGCAACACTGGGGAGTCATGCATACTACAAGCATAGTCTCCCGAGTGGCACAGTGGTCTAAGGCACTGCATCGCAGTGCTAGCTGTGCCACTAGAGATCCTGGTTCGAATCCAGGCTCTGTCATAGCCGGCCGCGACCGGGAGACCCATGGGGCGGCGCGCACAATTGGCCCAGCGTCGTCCAGGGTAGGGGAGGGAATGGCCGGCAGGGATGTAGCTCAGTTGGTAGAGCATGGCGTTTGCAACGCCAGGGTTGTGGGTTCGATAAAATAATGTATGCACTAACTGTAAGTCGCTCTGGATAAGAGCGTCTGCTAAATGACTAAAATGTAATGTAAATGTACTATATTACCGTGTAATGTGTGCTAGCTGGGGGCATTGAGGTACATTGGTGTATTAATAACAGACAGAAGCCATTTTGAATATTAAACGCACATTTATTTTGCAGAGGGTATTACTCAGATTCCCTCTATTATTTAACCAATTGACTCAAAATGGTCCAGGCCCATGAAATAATGTGTTGTGTACTTTATTGGTGATGGGGCTATTTCCCAGAACATTAAACACCATTTATGGTATGTGGCAGTGGCACTCCAATAATATGATATTAAGCATTAACCTCATCCCCACAGAAACAGAAGAAGAGAGAGCGAGAGAGCGAGAGAGAGCGAGAGAGCGAGAGAGAGAGATAGAGAGAGAGAAAGAGAGAGAGAGAGAGAGAGAGAGAGAGAGAGAGAGAGAGAGAGAGAGAGAGAGAGAGAGACAACACTGGACAGTATGGAACACAAATCCTTTACTATCTCATCCTGGAATATAGAAGGTCTGCCTTTGGACTAAAGAGCAGGAACCCAGACTTCACCAAATAAATTGGCATCCTACAAGAAACATGGTATAGAGGAGATGGACCCACTAGTTGCCCTCTAGGTTACAGTGAGCTGTTAGTCCCATACACCAAACTACCAGCTGTGAAACAAGAAAAAAGACTCAGGGGGTATGCTAATTTGGTATAGAGAATACCTAACCCACTCTATTAAATTAATCAAAACAGGAACATTTTAGATTTGGGTAGAAATAAATAAGGAAGTAATCTCAATAGAGAAAAATATCCTCCTGTATTCTACCTACAGTGCCTTCGGAAAGTATTTAGACCCCTTGACTTTTTCCACATTTTGTTAGGTTTGTTAGGCCTTTTTCTAAAATTGATTCAATTGTTTTTTTCCCCTCATCAATCTACACACAATACCCTTTACTCAGTACATTGTTGAAGCACCTTTGACAGCGGTTACAGCCTCAAGTCTTCTTGGGTATGACGTTACAAGCTTGGCACACCTGTATTTGGGGAGTTTCTCCCATTCTTCTCTGCAGATCCTCTCAAGCTCTGTCAGGTTGGATGGGGAGCGTTGCTGCACAGCTATTTTCAGGTCTCTCCAGAGATGTTCGATCGGGTTCAAGTCCGGGCTCTGCTTGGGCTACTCAAGACATTCAGAGACTTGTCTTGGCTGTGTGCTTAGGGTCAATGTCCTGTTGAAAGGTGAACCTTCGCCCCAGTCTGAGGTCCTGAGCGTTCTGGAGCAGGATTTCATCAAGGATCTCTCTGTACTTGGCTCCGTTCATCTTTTTCTCGATCCTGACTAATCTCCCTGCCGCTGAAAAACATCCCCACAGCATGTAGCTGCCACCACCATGCTTCACCGTAGGGATGGTGCCATGTTTCACCCAGATGCGACGCTTGGTATTGAGGTCATAGAGTTCAATCTTGGTTTCATCAGACCAGAGAATCTTGTTTCTCATGGTCTGAGAGTACTTTAGGTGCCTTTTGGCAAACTCCAAGCAGGCTGTCATGGGCCTTTTACTAAGGAGTGGCTTCCGTCTGGCCACTCTACCATAACGGCCTGATTGGTGGAGTGCTACAGAGATGGTTGTCCTTCTGGAAGGTTCTCCCATCTCCACAGTGGAACTCTGGAGCTCTGTCAGAGTGACCATCGGGTTCTTGGTCACCTCCCTGACCAAGGCCCTTTTCCCCCTATTGCTCAGTTTGGCCGGGCGGCCAGCTCTAGGAAGAGTCTTGGTGGTTCCAAACTTCTTCCATTTAAGTGTTCTTGAGGATCTTCAATGCTGCAGAAATGTTTTGGTACCCTTCCCCAGTTTTGTGCCTCGACACAATCCTGTCTCGGAGCTCTACGGACTGTCAACTGTGGGACCTTATATAGACAGGTGTATGCCTTTCTAAATCATGTCCAATCAATTGAATTTACCACAGGTGGACTCCAATCAAGTTGTAGAAACATCTCAAGGATGATCAATGGAAACAGGATGCACCGAGCTCAATTTCGAGTCTCATGGCAAAGGGTCTGAATACTTATGTAAATAAGGTATTTCAGTTTTTTATTTTTTATAATTTTGCAAATATTTATTTAAATACAACTGTTTTCGCTTTGTCATTTTGGGGTATTGTGCGTAGATTGATGAGGATTATTTTTTTTTGAATCCATTTTAGAATAAGGCTGAGGTAAGAATCAGAGGTGAGTGTCTGGAGACAAAATGCTGCAGCTGCAGTTTGTTTCTTTGGTTGATTCGTTTGTAAATCTATATGAGATTTTCCCTTTGGCTGTTCAATGTAGAAAAAATGGAAGGTCTCTGTTGGTCTAAGTTACCTGGACAGACGGCTTCTTCTCTGGCTTGTTGTTTGGCCGAGCGCCTCTCTTCTTCAGAGAGTTCTGGAAATAGAGAGAAACACATAAAATTGACAATAATTAGTATCAATCAATCAATCAATGAAATTAGATTTCCATAGCCCTTTAAATAACATTTGTCACAAAGTGCTTTTACAGTAACCCAACCTAATGTTAGGCCCTAGACCCCCAAAGAGCTAGCAGCAGCACATTGGCCAAGGTGTTATACAACATAATAATAATACCACCATGAGTCTATAACCCTTCTCCCCTTTCGCCCCCCTCACTCCTGCCCTTTCACCCAGTTTATCATCACCATGGAGATGTTTATCCCCACAGTGACACTAATAGGGGTGTGGAGCTACAGTTGACTGCATTTATACTTTGTAAACAGAGAGTAAAATATAAAGAGGGGGAGAGGGAGAGAAAAAAGAAAGAGAGGGAGATGAGGGAGAGGGAAGGAGGATAGGGAGAGAAAGGGGGAAGGAGAGAGAGAGGAGTGTGAGAGACAGAGGAAAAGGAAAGGATAGAGAGAGAGATGAAGAAAGAGAGAGAGAAAGAGAGAGAGAGAAAGAGGGAGATAGAGTTGAAGAGAAAGAGAGGGAGAGAGGGCGGGATAGAGGAGAGAGAGAAAGCGAGAGAGGGAAGGATAGAGAGAGAGAGAAATGTGTGTAAACTGAGACGAGACAATAAAGAGAACATGAGCAGCGTTGCTAATGACAGCCAGCCCCTCCCCCTGGTCACCTGGGCTTCAGTACACTGAGTTAGATCCTAATAAATCATCATTCCTACCAGAGTCCTGAGAGATCACACACACACAACACACACAACACGCACGCAGACAGACAGACAAGCTGCAGTACAAGCTTATCTCAAGCTTATCTCGCCAAGGCGTTTCCATGGAAACTGGCTTCTTTCTCCGCACTGAGCTGACTGGTGAAAAAAGAAGGGATATCCACAGTCCTCTCTGCTGTGTTTTATTCAATCAAGCTGAAAACAAACAAGAGACCCTGCTACACAGGACAGTATATAGCCTTTAACACAGTGGACCTCCACACACACACACACACACACACACACACACACTCCATCCAGAACCAGTTCGCCAGTGGAAAAAGCCAGCTGGAGAGCAGGGTAACTAGACTGGATTTAAAGCGGTACGGGTACAGCATAAAGAGCTGCATCCAATCCAATCTCAGCCTCCATTTTGTGTTTGCTGACAATGTCATGCAGTTTAGCTGGTGGCTGAGAACCTTTTAATGGTGCTAAACTTCACAGTGGAATCAATGGTGCGGAAAAATAATGGAACTATTGATCTGGACACATATCGACCAACTTAAGGACACTTTTCTGTTTGGTTTCGACTATTGGTTTCGTCAGGCCAGCTGTAACAGTCTCGCTATGACAAGTGACAGGGATGTAGAGGTGTCACTGTGACAGGCAGGCTAACACTATTCTAACACAGAGCTAAACCACAATACCTACTCATTATTAAAACCACTTTATGACACAAACATCTCACACCTTTTTTTTCTGTGCCCTAAACCTATTTTGTTAATAAATATCAATAACTTTCACACTTCCCCCTCATCCTCCCCTCCTCCCATCCCACAGTAAAGCTCTCCCGGTGTGTCCCAAATGGCACCAATTCCCTATGTTGTGCGCTATGGGCCCTGGTCAAAAGTAGTGCAATATATAGGGGATAGGGTGCCATTTGGGACACAGCCTCCCTGCTCTGCGATCTCACGCCCCGAAAAGAACCAGACAAAATTCCACCCACTCTGCCAAGTTGATGTAATTGGCCGGCCCGTTCTGTACAACAGCTACATATCATCCAGAACACAAGGTCACTCACACAAACAATTCAGCGCTGACTCAACCTCAGTAAAACACTGAGAGAATACTGGGACAACATTAGGGAGATGAGGTTTGAATTGAGGTTTCTGTATGTAAAATGGTGCCACTCCAGGCCTGCCTGTCTCATGCCTACACACACATGCACAATGCACAGTTAAAGGCACGCACACACACCCTATCGCCAGCA